CACACGGCCCACCTCCTCGCAGAACCACGCCCAGCCCAGTTGACTAAAGGAGAAATAGACAATCTATTGTGCACTATAACTTATAGAAGTAAAATGCACGACGCCAATAGCAAAAGGGAAAGGGGATAATGGAAATATACATTTATACTATTACAAAATAACGTGAGAATATATACTGTAAGGTTCTTACGTTATATATACAATATTAATAGTATAATATTATTTGGGCTGGGCACGGTGGCTCACGCCTGTAATCCCAACACTTTGGGAGTCCCAGCTACTTGGGAGGCTGAGGCAGGAGAATTGCTTGAACCTGGAAGGTGGAGGTTGCACTTTGGGAAGCTGAGGCGGACTGATCACCTCAGGTCAGGAGTTCAAGACCAGCCTAGTCAACATGGTGAAACCCTGTCTCTATTAAAAATAGAAAAAATTAGCCGGGCGTGGTGGCAGGCACCTGTAATCCCAGCTACTGGGAAGGCTGAGGCAGAAGAATCACTTGAAACCAGGAGGTGGCGGTTGCAGTGAGCCGAGATTGCACCACTGCATTCCAGCCTGGGTGACAGAGCAAGACTCCGTCTCAAAAAAAAAAAAGAAAGAAAAAGAAAACAAATAGTAAGATAGCCAACTTAAAAATTTACCATTTAAATTATGATATTATATATAAATGATCTAAATACTTCAATTAAAAGGCAGAGAGTATTATGACCTTATTTTAAAAAATCAAAATATACAACTTTGCCTTAATTATACAAAATTGTTACAAAAATATCATGTTTATAAAATTATAGGCCAGACGCAGTGTTCATACCTGTAATCCCAGCAGTTTGGGAGGCTCAGGCAGGTGAATCACTTGAGGTCAAGAGTTTGAGACCAGCCAGCTCAACATGGTAAAACTCTGCCTCTACTAAAAATATAAAAATTAGCCAGGCATGGTGGCATATGCCTGTAATATCAGCTACTTGGGAGGCTGAGGAAGGAGAATTGCTTGAAGCCGGGAGGTGGAGGTTGTAGGGAGCTGAGATGGCACCACTGCACTCCAGCCTGGGCAACAGGAGCAAAACTCCGTCTCAAACAAAAAAATAAACATAATACATATATTAATTACATGTTATACAACTATACAGGAAATGCACCTTATTTTTATCACTATTACTTTTTGAGACAGGGTCTAGCTCTGTCACCCAGCCTGGAGTGCAGTGGCGTGATCTCGGCTCATTGCAACCTCTGCCTCCTGGGCTCACATGATCTTCCCACTTCAGCCTCTTGAGTAGCTGGTACTACAGGTGCAGGCCACCATCTTCAGCTAATTTTTAATTTTTTGTAGAGTCCAGGCATGGTGGCTCATGCCTGTAATCCCAGCACTTTGGGAGGCTGAAGTGGGCAGATCACAAGGTCAAGAGTTTGAGACCAGCCTGGCCAACATGGTGAAACCTCGTCTATATGAAGAATAGAAAAATTAGCCAGGCGTGGTGGTGTGAGCCTGTAATCCCAGCTACACAGGAGGCTCAGGCAGAAGAATCACTTGAACCCGGGAGGTGGAGGTAGCAGTGAGCTGACATCGTGCCACTGCACTCCAGCCTGGGTGACAGAGCAAGACTGTGTCTCGAAGAAAAAAAAAAAGAATTCAAATAATATAAATCATGTTCTCTTATCCCACAAAATTGGATTTGAAATAAATAACAGAAAGGCATTTAGAAAATCCCCAAAGATTTCAAGATTAAACAATACACTTCCAAATAAACAATAAGTCAAAGAAATCATAAGGTCAACTAGAAACTATTTTGTACTGAAAGATAACAAAATCATAACGTATCAGAATATGGGGCATGTCCCCAAAGCAAGGCTTGGAAGGCAATTGACGGTGCTTAATACAGGAAATGCCAATGGATAGTAGGAGCCTTCGTAGAACTGATGGAGAAGAGCCAGTTCTTAAGGGACTGCAGGGCAGCTCAGGCTGGCTGGGATGCAGCTGCCAGGGGCAGCAAGGAAGCCCAGCTGGCCCCCAACACCAACAGTGGTGAGGACTGGCAGGCCAGTGCCCCCATTCTTCACCTTCCCTGAGGAACCCCAAGGAGAGGAAGTCCTGACCCTGACACTCTGCCCCTGAGAATGGGACTCATAAGTAGAATTATACCAACACCAGTGAATTTTTAGCAAAATCAGAATTTTTTTTTTTTTTTTTTTTTTTTTTTTTATTTTTTTTTTTTTTTTGAGACAGAGTCTAGCTTTGTCGCCCAGGTTGGAATACAATGGCCTGATCTCGGCCACCACAACCTTCACCTCCCAGGTTCAAGCAATTCTCCTGCCTCAGCCTCCTGAGCAACTGGGACTACAGGGGCAAGCCACCATGCCCAGCTAATTTTTTGTATTTTTAGTAGAGACACGGTTTCACCACATTGGCCAGGCTGGTCTTGAACTCCTGACCTCATGATCCACCCACCTTGGCCTCCCAAAGTGCTGGGATAACAGGTGTGAGCCACCTTGCCCAGTGCAGAAAATTATTATTATTATTATTTATTATTTTTTTTTTTTAGACGGAGTTTCGCTCTTGTTACCCAGGCTGGAGTGCAATGGCGCGATCTCGGCTCACCGCAACCTCCGCCTCCTGGGTTCAGGCAATTCTCCTGCCTCAGCCTCCTGAGTAGCTGGGACTACAGGCACGCGCCACCATGCCCAGCTAATTTTTTGTAGTTTTAGTAGAGACGGGGTTTCACCATGTTGACCAGGATGGTCTTGATCTCTTGACCTTGTGATCCACCCGCCTCGGCCTCCCAAAGTGCTGGGATTACAGGCTTGAGCCACCGCGCCCAGCAGAAAAATATTCTTTAGAGTGAACTTCACTACACTGAATTATGAAATCAGTTTTCTACTTGGCAAAATTAAACCATTTCCAACTTTTTCTGTTTCCCTTTTTCATTTTGCTGCCATTATTTTCACCTGGGTTTATCCTTTGCCAGATACACTTTCCAGTAGACATTTGATTTGTCCATTAGTTGGGTGGGGGATGTTGCTCTTTGAGACAGTCTCGCTGTGTTGCCCAGGCTAGAGTGCAGTGGTATGATCCTGGCTCACTGCTGACCCCGAGTGATCCGCCCACCTTGGCCTCCCAAAGTGCTGGGATTACAGGCATGAGCCACTCTGCTCAGCCTAGTTGGATTTTTTAAATCTGTTATTACGTGGTTTCTGTTGGGGCCGCTATTTCTACCAAGTCCAACTTTCCCTTGTACAAATATTCTTGCCGATGTAAATTTTGTCAATAGTTTTATTATTAAATCACGGTAAGTTTTTATTTACTTACTGACACGGAGTCCTGCTTTGTCACCCAGGCTGGAGTGCAATGGCTCGATCTCAGCTCACTGCAACCTCTGCTTCCCGGGTTCAAGCATTTTCCTGCCTCAGCCTCCCAGGAAGCTGGGATTACAGGCACTCGCCACCACACCCTGCTAATTTTTGTATTTTCAGTAGAGACGGGGTTTTACCATGTTGGCCAGGCTGGTCTCGAACTCCTGACCTCATGTGATCCACCTGCCTTGGCCTCCCAAACTGCTGGATTACAGGCGTAAGCCACCACGTCCGGGGTAAGTCACAGTAAGTTTTGTTGCATGCAGTTCTAACTTTCAGCTTTATTTTGGGTGCATTATTGACCTGGACCTTGTATTGAATTTTTAACCAATCCATGGGGAAATCATGGGTGAGGTCTGGGGGAAAGTCATCACCCAGGAGGCCCAGAGTCACAGGGTGGGGTCTGGATCACAGACCCCGGTGAAACTGTGTCTGGAGCCTCCTGCTTCACCCACCCCCAGCCTCCTGTAATCCAGGAAACTAAACTCCCTTGTCTCCCATCTCCCAGCTGTCACAGTCCCCATGCATGGACCCCGCCCTCTTCCATGAGGGCACCACGGTGTGCCATTGTGTGGGCCAAGACCCTACCTTACCTCTGAGTATCAGTCTGAGAGGGTACCCCGCCCTGTCCCCTCCTGCACCATAGCCATGGCCCACCACCCATCCCATCTCATGCACAGCCTCTCCCTGGTGGATTCCAAAATGGCCCTGCCCTCTCTCCTACTCCGGGTGTGGGCTATAGACCCAGGTGGCCCAGGTGACCCACGCTGGTCGCTCCAGTCACTTACTTGAAACCCTCTGTGGCGACATATGCCAGCTGTGGACATGGTTGTCTCTGACATCATAGATTTGGAGGCATAGACTCAGAAATGAGGGTCCCCAAGGATGCATGTCCCCAGCTGGGCACCCTGATGGCTGCATCAGGGATGTCTCTGGAGCTGAGTGGAGGTGTCATCATCAAAGCCTGTATAGGGGCTCCAAATCCTGGGCACCCTCCTTTTGGTCATCCTCTTCCTCAGAGGCAGGTGACCCCCCCATGAAGGCCCACCTGGACCACACCCCAGTCCCCTACTGGCCTGGGCAGGGATGACCAGGAATGACCTGGCTCCGGCCTCGTGCTCATACCTAGAGAAGTGCTGTGGACAGGCAGAGGGCAGAGCGCCTTCTCTGGGGCAGCTGTGACTGTGAGCTGATGCACGTCACGGCCTCGGACTGAAGTTTCCATCGGGGACTGGTTGAGGGACTTGTGTAGATCTGGCATGGGTTCTGAGTTACCTGGCCATGGGAGCAGGATCTTTGCCTCAAACACCCTTGCCTATGCCAGCCCTGGTGGGTGGGTATGGTAAGGCCTGCCAGGGATATGGGGCAGAGGACAGGCTTGAGCTGGGCCCAGGGCACAGAAACGAACAGGACTGGGGCCCCAGCGCCTGACCCCAACCACAGCCCATCGTTCCCCTTTCCCCCTGGGCCATCACTACCAGCTCTGAGCTGCTGCACGAGGGGTAGGGTGCACAGGGTGGAGCTGCCCATGGGTCCTGGGCTCCCATGTGGGCTCAGCCCACCCTCAACTCCACAGGTGGAGCTGACCTTACCAAGTGGGTGGGCAGCCTTGGCACATGGATGGGTTGCAGCACTGGCCATGTGCTAGTCCCAGGGCACAGGGCAGCTTGGGGAAGGGGACCCCCCCAAAGGGAGTGGAGAGAAGTGGGAGGAGACCATCAAGGTCCAAGTCACAGCCCCAGTGCTCCCAGGGGGCTTTGGACAACTCACCTTGCCTTGGTTTCTCCATCTGTTAAATGGGAACAGAGGTGGCTGGGAGAGCTCAGCAAGGGCCAGGTACATAGCCCCAGCCCTGTGGCTGTGCTCAGCAGGGGGCTCACCCCTGGCTCAGGAGGTGAGTTGGGCAGGACATGCAAAGCAGCAGGCGCAGGAAGACAGGGGCACAGCGGGGGTGAGGGGGTGGGGGGTGAGCCTTCGGGAGCAGCCTCCCAGGAGCAGACTCAACGCACCCCTGTGCTGCAGCCTTCAGGGTCCCCAGCAGGGCCCAGCATAAGGGGCTTGGGGCAGGAGGGAGACTGGCCCGGCTTAGGGGTTGGGAAGGGAGGATGGCCCAGCTACCAGGGGAGGAGGGAGGCTGGGCCAGCTGTGGGTGGGGAGGGCCTCACAGGGAGCAGACGGTGCCTTCTTCCAGGGCCTTTCCAGCTTGCCAGCCTGTTTCTGAGGGGGGGTGTGATTGGGGGTCCTGGGGGGACAAAGACCAGCACCCCACTTGCAGATGGGGCTGGGAAGGCCCCCAAGGGTGGGAGCTGTGTCACAGAAAGTGAATTCTGTCTCCACATACAGTGCAGGACCTCTGCCTATTGCTGCCTCAGTTTCTCAATCTGTCAAATGGGGACAGTGACCCCCCACAAGGCATGAGGGCATCGGGATGGAGAGCACTGGGGTAGGGCCATGGCAAGGAACCGGAGGCCCCACTGTGGATAAAGGTCCCTGCACACGAGCCTGCCCCTTACCCACTGCAGTTGGTACCCTGCTGCCAGGATGCAGGTAATATCTTTCTCATGATTCTATGTGGTCTTTTCCCAATTTTCTGTGAACAGAGAGGCACCATTTTCCTATTAAAAGCCCATAGATTAAAGCCAACATTCAGATGCAGTTTAGGAGTTTATGAGTCAATGTCCCCTTACAATGTTAATGCTAAATAGACTGACTTGTTTGGTAGTCTGTGTCCTCTTACTTTTACTTACAAAATACATTTTTTTTTACAAGGAGTAAAATGCTTCAATCATGTTGGTAATTTTAAAAAGCGCTGCTGCACCTTTCAGGCAGGTTAGCTGATCAGAGCCAGCCCTGCCATGTCTGTGAGCCACCAGGGTTCTAGAACCGACTTCCTGAGACGGTCTCCACCACAAACCTCTGCGCGAATGTGGTTTTGACAATGCTACAAGTCAAGGATCCTCAAATCTGCCCACATCCCAGCAAATGTGGACAAACGGAACAGAAACTCAACTCTACAATGTCAGGACACAAAATAGGGGTACACTGATGTTGTGTGTCAAAGGATGCTGAATGCACCCATTCCTGAGGCATCTAACAGGATGGGAGCTGGGGACCACTGGTGAAGACAGAGGCAGATCCTACACGACCAACAGGCTGCAATGCCTGCTGTGCAGTAACGACCAATACACCGGGACAGCAGAGTCTGCAGCAGAGAAACAGTGTAATGATCCCTGGGCAATGAGCAAGGAGATGGGAGGGACCTTCAAATCTGTCTCCCTGAGTTCTCGGCTGGGGTTTTTAAGGGGATTGTGAAGGGTTAGGGGCTGTAAAATGGGGTCATCAATTGGGCAGGAAAAAAGGATGAAGTCATCAGCATGTGGACCCTCCGTTATTTGGTGCATCAGCTCCTCATGGGGATGCTTCAGGCCAGCTGGGTCCGTCGTTTCATGGGTATTCAGGAGCTATCAAATAGAAAACTTCACATTTTACAATGTTTAGCGTTCCCCATAACTGCTCTATAGATAACAATGATAGTTTGAGGAAGGGGTAGGAAGGCGGGTGGCCTCAAGATTAGCACTGAGTGAGCTTCCCTTCCTCCCCTCCCTTCCCTGATTAAAAAGTTTACAGGGATGGTTTCAATAATAATGATGTATCCACAAAGTCAACAGAAAAAAAGAAAGTGCCAAGTCCCTGGTGGATCCCTGTGCCCTCCAGCCATCCGGGCGCAAGGCAAAGGGAAGCTACCCAGCTGCAGAGCCACAGATGAGCTGAGCGCGTGCCGCACTCATGGGCTTAGGAACTTCAGAGAGAAACGCTCTTCAGCATCCCAACGGACTCCACACTTCAGGAACCGCAGTTCCCATGGGGGCCTCACGGAAGGAATCACGAAATGCTCAAGGAAAGCAAGGGACCCTGGAGAGGCCAGTGGTCCAGGGAAGCGCTCCCTCCTGACAACACAGAGATTTCACTCCGGAAAGGCAGAAAGGCGGGGAATGTGGTGAAGCTCCGCCTCGAGTCGGGGGCAACCCGGGAGACGGCCCAACGATGGACCAAAGGCGAAGGGCGCTGCTGGGGCCTGTGAGACTCAGAAGCACTTCCAAAGTCCGCCTGAAGCCCAGTCTTGTCAGCTCAGGCCCTATCTCTGGGGGCGCATTCTCGAGGGAGTTGTGCGGAATCAAGGAGTTGGCCATCGCCAAGTAACGGGGTGGGGGTGGGAGAAGACGACTAGGTTCTGTCTCCATAGAGACCATGGCCGCCGAGCAGCAACATGACTAATGTTGGGAGCATCCCGACGGACAGCGAAGGCCCAGGGGGAGTCCCCGGGTGAAGGCTGGCAAAGCTGCCCTGACCCCCGAGACCCAAAGCCCCGATCTGCCTCCCCCAAAGCCTCGTGACCCTGAGACGCTTCCCTCCCCTGGGCCTGGAGCCTAGAATATTTAGGGAGGGAAAGAGGAAGGGCTAAGCAGGGGGAGGGGCCAGGGTCGCTGCTCTCACCAGTCCTGGAGGGCCAGGCACCAACCCATGGCGCCCAAGAAAAAGCGCGGGCCGAGCGCGGGGAGCCAGCCAGGTGGTGCGGGGGGCGCGGGTGCCGAGCAGCCGCTGTCGGAGCGCGCGCAGTACCTGCAGCGCGAATACGCGCTGCTTTCGGAGCAGCTGGAGGCCTGCGAGGACCGCGTGGACCAGGTGCTGCAGGAGAACGCCTTCCTGGACCGCGAGGCGCTGCGCCTGCGCGAGGAGAACCGGCTCTACGCCAGCTATGTGAGCGCGCGCGCCCAGCGCTGCGCCAACGCCATCGTCCGGCTGGACGAGCAGAACCGCGTGGACCTGGCGCAGATCCACTGGCAGCGGGCGGAACTGGCCTCGCTCTACCACGGGCGCGAGGACGGGGTGCGCGCGCAGCTGCTGGAGATGGAGGCGCGCGCGGAGCAGATGGCGCGGCAGGTGCAGGAACTGCAGCCCTACAAGGCCAGTGCGCGGGCCCGCGGCCGGGGTGCGGCGGGGCTGGGCGGGCAGCCGGGCCGGGCGGGCAGCCGGGCCGGGGGCAGGGGAGGGGAGGGTGGACTGACGGCGCCCCCGCCGCAGGTGCTGCAGCTGGAGCAGCTGGCCCGGATCCGGGTGCTGGAGCGCGAGCTGCTGCATATGCGCGTGGAGCACACGCAGCTGCTCCACCGCGTGAAGCGGCGCTTCCAGGAGGACAAGGCGGCTTTCGAGCGCGAGGCGCGTCAGCGCGTGCAGTCCCTGGCGCGGCGCGCGGAGCGGGAGGCGGCGCGCGCGCTCGTTGTGCACACGCAGGCCATCAAGGCGGACAACTGGCGCCTGCGGCAGGAGCTGCTGCGGCTGCTCCGCCGGACCCAGCTGCTGCACGACACGCGGCGCCAGCTGTTGGAACAGCGCGAGCAGCTGCACCGCGAGCACGAGGACACGCGGGACCTGGCGCGTGTGCACGGCTGGCTGCCCAGGGGCCCCGGAGGCCCGCCGCTCTGGCAGCCGCCGGCCTCCTCCCAGCCCACCTCGCGCCACGGCTCATCAGCTGCTCCCATAGACCCTTCGGACACCGCCTCCCAGACCCAGTCCTTGGTCCCGTCGCGCGCGACTTCCCGGGCTCCATCCGGGGTCCCGTCGCGCGCGGCCTCCCGGGCCTCGTCCGTGGTCCCGTCGCGCGCGACTTCCCAGGATCCGTCCGTGGTCCCGTCGCGCGCGGCCTCCCGGGCCCTCTCGTTGGTGCCATTGAGCATGGGCTCCAGGGTCCCATCGCTGGCCGCCTCAAAGCTGGGCTCCCGGATCCCATCCCTGACCACGTCACACGCAGCTTCCCGGACCCTGTCGCTGCCGCGGTCACGCGAGGGCTCTCGGATCTCTTCGCGGTCCTCATTGCGGGTGTCCTCGGAGGACACTCTCCGATCTACGAAGTCTGGCCCCAAGCTTCGCTCCAGCCTGACATGGGATCGGGATCCCGCCCTTCCCCACCCACAGTCGGAGGAGAGCGTGATCGCTGACGCTGCGGCAGAAGCCTCCTCCGGGAGAGCCTGAACCCGCAGGGGGGAGGCCCGGGAGGCCCTGGTGTGGGCGACCCTCGTGCGCAGGAGGCTTACTGGGATAATGCAATCGTCAATAAAGGTGTGGCCCCCAGACCGCTCTGACACCCACGTGCGCCCTCCAGCACTTCCCGCTGGCACCGGAGCCGGAGCCGCTCATTCGTGCGTCCAGTTTCCAAGCTGCAAGGGAACTCAGCGCCTGCTTTCTCTGAGCGTCCTCTGGGCCCCCGCGCCCCTGCCCTCAGCGCGTCCCCGCCGCGAGCCGGCAGGCGCAGAGCAAGCCCCGGCACCCGCGGGCGCGGCCGGGCGATGAGGCAGCAGCTGGCAGCTGGGCCGCACGGGGAGGCCCGGGAGGAGCGTGGGCTTCGTTCTCCGGCGCCAAGGGGAGAGAACGGATGTTGAACCCACTGGAGTTTTTTAGTGACTTTAAAACTTTGATCCATACCTTCCAACTTAGAGAAATTTGCAAGAATAGCAGAGGGACCGCCGTGGACCTTTATCCGGATGCCCGTAAGTTCGGTCCGTGTGAATCCCGCGAGTGCGCACTGCTCGGGGAGCGTCCGAGGCGCGGTGGGACACGCGGGCCCCGTGGCCCTAAGCGCTGGCGTGTGTATTTCCTGGACTGAGGGATGTTCTCCCACGACACCGCAGGAGCGATCGGAGCCAGGACACCCACTGCGGAGGAATGTTACCCCCATCACACCCATCACCGCTTTGTTACCTGTCCCGTGTTTTTGTAGCTGTCCCCACCTTCCGGGGTCACGTGCTGCATTTCGTTGTCACACCTGGATGAGGACACGTGGTTATTAAAACGCGCCTCCTTGGAGGGTCAGCCCTGCGGGCTGCGTGGACGCGACGCGACCAGCGAGTGCCTGCGGCCAGAGCGGCGCCGCGCTTCCGGTCGGGGCGGCGCGGTTTCCGGGCATGTGTAGGGGTAGTTTCCGCCCTGTGTGTTGGTGATGGCGTCCCTTGCCCTTTGTCCCGCGGACAGGCTCCTCCTTCTGTGCAAGCCTGTGGCAGTCATTCCTGGCTTTCCTCTTCCTGGGGCCCTGAGCTCCTTTGTTGGGATCTCAAGCGTGTATCCCCAGTTTCCCCCAGCACCTCCCAGGACCTTGAGGACCCCCAGGGACCCGGGTGGGCCCACCTGAGCCATCTCTGTCCTCTTAGGAGGAGTTGCCAACATTGGGGCTCTGTGACCCAGGCGGGTGGGCTGGGAGGTGGGTGCAGCTACAGCGAGGCTGGGAGCTTCCCCGGCTTCCAGGGCACCTGTGCACCGACCTGGACCTCAGGGCCCGCCTCGCTGGGTTGTCCCTGTGTGTGAAGCAAGGGCATCTGGCCCTGGGGCAGGAACCGTGTTGGGAAGGGGCACAGCTGGGCCCGGGAAAAAGTACAGCTAGTGCTCGACTTATGACCACAGTCGGGACCGCGGACCGGTCGTAACACGATTTGGTCGTAAGTTGAGTAGGCTATATGTACAGTTGAAATGGTGCACACGGAGATGGTAGTGCTGCCGGAAGCTGGTCCACACTGTCCTACGCCCAGCTGGGCAATGTTTGCGCTGCCAGACGCGGAGCAGTCGTGGCTAGCGATTGTGGTCGTAAAGTTGCATAGATCCTAAGCCAATCAATACCTGTAAAGGGAGCCCACCCACTGGGCCGGTCTGGAAGGTTGGTTCTTTGTGACTAAAGAGCCAGACGTTAAAGTAAAACACACCTGGTAAGTCAATAAATCCAGGACACTGACAATAGCAGAGGCCGTCGAGGATGAGCGCAATGGTAGCTCTGTTCACTGCTGGTGGGAAGGCAAAAAGGCACAGCTACCGGGGAAGACAGGTTGGCAGGTGCTAAACATACCCTCACCTACCGTCCATGGTAGTGCTTCTTGGTATTGACCCAAAGGAGTTGAACATTTGTGTCCACATGAAAACCCACACATGGAATTAGCTGGGTGTGGCCGCACACATCTGTAATCCGAGCTACTAGGGAGGCTGACACACAAGAATTGCTTGAAGCCGGGAAGCAGAGGTTGCAGTGAGCCGAGATCCACCACTACACTCCAGCCTGGGCAACAGAGCAAGACTATCTCCAAAAAAACAAACAAAAAACTCACACATGGATGTTTATAGAAGCTTTATTAATAATGGCCAAAACTCATGCAGCCAGGACGTCCTTCAATAGGTGAATGGATAAACTCTGGAACATCCAGACAAGGGAATATTATTCAGCCCTGAAAAAAACAAGCTGTCAAGCCATAAAAAGACACAGAGAAGACTTAATGGCACATTGCTAAGTGAGAGACGCCCGTCTGAAAAGGCAGCACACTGTATGATTCCAACTGCGACATTCTGGAAAAGGCACAACTGTGGGGACAATCAAAGGATCAGTGGCTGCCAGGGGCTGGGGAAGGATGGGGTGAAAAGGTGAAGCATGGGGGATTTTTAAGGCAGCGAAACTACCCCACACAATACTACAATTGTGCAAGGTGGTTTTTCCAAACCATGACAACACCAAGAATGAAGCTCTAATGTGAACTGGAAGCTTTAGTTAAAAGTCACATGTCAATATTTCTTGTCAGTCACAGAAGACGAACCACACTAAGAAAAGATGTTAATAATAGGGGAAAGTGGCCGGGCGCAGTGGCTCACGCCTGTAATCCCAGCACTTTGGGAGGCCAAGGCGGGTGGATCACCTGAGGTCAGGAGTTCAAGACCAGCCTGGCCAACATGGTGAAACCCAGTCTCTACTAAAAATACAAAAATTAGTTGGGCGTGGTGGCGGGTGCCTGTAATCCCAGCTACTCGGGAGGCTGAGGCAGGAGAATCACTTGAACCTGGGAGGCAAAGTTTGCAGTGAGCTGAGATCATGCCACTGCATTTCAGCCTGGGTGACAGAGTGAGACTCCATCTCAATGTAATAATAATAACAGGGAAAGTGCCTATGAACGGGTATTATGGGATCTCTGTACTCTATGATCAATTTTGCAGTAAACCTAAAACTGCCCTAAAGATATAGTCTGTTACCTTTTTTTAAAAGTGAAAACATTAAGTATTGGAAGCAAATCTGAAAACAATTTGAAGATGTGAAAGCATTTTTTAAAAAAGAAAATCCAAGCCCAGGCATGGTGGCTCACACCTGTAATCCCAGCACTTTGGGAGGCTGAAGAGCGTGGATTACTTGAGTCCAGGAGTTCAAGATCAGACTGGCTAACATGGTGAAACCCCATCTCTTAAAAAAAAATACAAAAAAGCTAGTTGGCCATGTTGGCACATGCCTGTAATCCCAGCTGTAATTGGGAGGCTGAGACAGGAGAATTGCTTGAACCCACAAGGTGGAGATTGCAGCGATCCAAGATGGCACCACTGTATTCCAGCCTGGGTGACAGCAAGACTTTGTCTCAAAAA